GAGGTACTAAAGACTCCCGGACTACAATAGCCACACAGCCACACCGCCACCCCTTCCCTGGGCTCTCGGCTGGTGTAGCACCTGAAATCCGGCTGGGCACATCTCGACGAGGGGGACTCCTCCCTCAGGGCCCAGCCATGTTTCAGTAATACATGCCAGGTCTGCGCCCTCATCAGTTATCAAGTCCCGGATGAGGGGGGCCTTATGAACAACAGACCTGGCATTTAGTGACAGCAGCCTGAGACCAGGGTCCTGAACACCCGCGCCATCTGACCTTGGAGTGGGACTTACAATTCTTACAGCAAGCACACAGGAAGGCTATATTATTATTGTTGTTGTTGTTTCTATGTTGCACACAGAGGGGATAGCTAGACTGAGGCAGAAAGAAGCCAGCTAGCCTCAGGTCACCTTAGGAGCTTCAGCAGTGGCTTGTAATGAAGATTTCCTCAATCAACTCAATGTTCAATGGATCATTCAGCCCATAGTTGCTCTTCTCAAAGCATGGGCCAAGATTCCATTAGATTGCCCGCACTCAGCAAAAGTAACTACAAGGTAAGGAACAGGCACAGTCAGTGCTTGCAAAACCCAAAACAGAAAGTGTATGACTATTGGAGAAAGATCCTTGGCACAAAAATGACAGAGGGTGGGTGAGCATGTCTGTTTGGGGCCACGGAATAGCAGCTTCAGCAATGCTGCCCTTCCATCCAATCTCCCATTTGCATCAAGAGATTTCCCGCACCTGTTTCCTGAGTTATTATTCCAGAGGAGACTTGTTTTCCCTTTGCCACACTCCACTTCATAGGCAGAGGATGGGGTTGTCCTGGCAGGGCGTGTCAACACTTTCTCGACCCTACTTTTGATTTTGGGTGTGTGCTTGCTCAGTACGTGAGCGTGTATTTCCCTTCCAACTATTTTCCTTAGCCAGTATGCCTGGGTGTGGGGAAAGGAGTGGTGTTTATGTCCTAGCTTCACACCTTTCCCGTTCGTTATCTCTTGGATATTTTGAGGTGTAGATCCAATATCTGCATATAAAATCTTGTTTTAGAAGGCAAAAAGCTTGGCAAGGCAATCTTGGGTTTACATCTGAAGCCTCAGATTTTGTGATTCCTTAAATGGTAAAATAAGCAGCAGTTTTTTCTGGCTCTTTCTGTTTGGGCATAAATCACCTGTTAAGATCTGGATCAAAACCAAGATGTGAGAGGCAAATTCAATCTTTTCTTGTATCATTTTTCCAATTAAAGCTATCAACTGATTCTGAAGCAACTATCCACAACTACACAGCTCCAGTTGCTCAAGATAATAGGAAGGTTGCTATGATAGCCCAAAACATCTAAGAAGCAGTGAGAAAATAGGTCTTGAATAAACTATTGAGAAAATATACTAATACGGGTTTCTACAGAAAACTTACATGTGGGATTAATTTCAAATTTTGGAGAGGAAAAGATTTCTTCAGGGGTATCATGAACAAGTAGAACAAGATATAAACTAAAACATAAATAAATTTGAAGATAGCAGGGGAATCAAAGTTTCATATATACGAATCTGGGGAGAAAAGCATTTAAACATATCTAAACATTTTAGTTGTTAAAAAGTTGTTTATTGGGAATTACTGTTCTGTTCAATTTTTTTAAAAACAATACTTTTATTTGCATTTTGTTCTGTTTTAGTGGTGCGGAGATTCACAGTTCTGCTGAGGTAATTAATCATTCAATTGGAACTAGACGAAAATATACTTGCTGTTGTACCTCCCAGGCTATCTTCATGAAGGCAACGGATGATAGATCTTTATATCTTGCCAGGAAAACTTCCCAGTTTACGTTGCTCATCCCACTGATTAACCTGAACAGCAAATAAGAACCTTAAGGAGGCTTAGGCACAGGCACACAATATTGTTCTTGGAACAATAACAACAAAATTAGCAATATTCCTCTCTATGACATTAAAGATTTCAAAATGGCATCTTTTTATTCTTCATGTCTTGCAGATGTGCTTGCTTTCAACCCTCAAATTCCTAGACAGCAAACTCAGCAATATAGTCCTCAACTTACAACCATTCTTTTAATGATTGTTCAAAATTACAATGGCATTGAAAAACATGATTTATGTCCAGTCCTTGAGCTTATGACTATGGCAACATCCCCATGCTCACATGATCAAAATTCAGGCAACTGAATTTCGCTGGGCAACTGGCATGTATTTATGATAATTGCAGTACTCTGAGGTCATGTGATTGCCACTTGCGACCTTCCCAGCTGGCTTCTGACAAAGACAATGGAGGAAGCAGGATTCAGTTAACGATAGCATGATTCACTTAATAACTGCAGTGATTAACCCACTGTGGCAAAACTGGGAGCAACTCACTTAACAACTACCTTGGTTAGCCACAGAAATTCTAGTCCCAATTGTGATCAGATGTCCAGGTCTACCTGTATTTGTAGGATAAATTATTCAGGGTTTACTGAATTAGGGAATGTTGAACAAAGCAATTTGCTATTATCTGTCTATTAATGATCATTTAACAGCTTCTGTCCAGTGAGTCTTGAAAACAAAAAGATCGATACAGCCAGGGTTTGAAGAACTATTGTAAACAGGGATCACATCCTTGCATTATATATAGTAAATGCACTTGATTCACATTTACAGCCTTTTCACAGTAACAATGTGAACCTTGATGGAATCCAGACCTTGCTTGCTGATAAAAAGAGTTGCTCATTGATGCATTGGTATCCTGTGTTTTTGAAACACAGGATGTTGTGTGTTGTGTGGTTCGGAGGGGAAAAAAGTAAGACAAGTCCTTTACAATCATAGCTAAAACAAGACCACATCATAGGCTCTCCTGTTACACTATAATTAACTAATAAAGATAGGCCAGTTGGTCTGAAGCACTGGTGGGTACCTCTTTAAAAATATTTATTATTTATTTATGGGATAAACACAGTTGTAACTTTTTTTTTGAAAAGGATGAACAGAAAGTACACATTTTGCCCCGGGTCCTAAATGAAATGATCCATCACTCCAAAAAAGAAGGAAGGAAGGAAGGCACTGATTCTGTAGGAAAAAAAGATACTGATTGGGTTTTTTTCTTCTTCCATAACTACTGTTTCTACTTACCCAACTAGTGGGACACAAGGATTTAAAAACCTTATGGTACCATTCACACCTCTGCACATCCTGGCCTTTAGTTTTCACAATCTTCAGACAACGGTAATAATCTGCAAGGACAAAGAAGAACCTGATATGTTCTGATAATTGTTCTTGAACAGAAATGGGAAATTCACATTAGAATATTTTCTTCATTTTGATGCTTATTGGTTGACTTAGGGTCAATGTCTCTCAGGTTGACTACAAGTTTTTTATGAGGATACAGTGATGGTAGTGTGAATAAATGCAAGAAATAAATAGTGTCATCAATTGTGCTTATTCATAGCTGGTTCCACCACAAAACCACGCTCGACTAAACCGCGTCCGACTAAACCGTGTAGCTGACCTCATCAACAGGGCGACAACAGCGCGGAGACAGAAGCACGCTGTAAACCCTAAACCTAAAATTAACCCCTAAACCTAAACCTACCCCCCCCTAAACCTAACCCTAAACCTAACCCTAACCCTTAACCTAACCCTAAAGCTAACCCTAAAGCTAACCCTAAACCTAACCCTTACCTTAAGTTGAATCGGCTTGCTTTCAAAGCGCTATTTAAAGCGTTCTTCTTTCTCCGCGCTAGCTGTTGTCGCCCTGTTGATGACGTCAGCGATGTGGTTTAATCGGGCGCGGCTTAGTCAAGCGCGGTTTTGACGTGTCACGTTCACAGCTTAATATATAGGACAATTGTAATAGGTGCATTGCGCAACATCTGGAACTGGATTCTTTGCAAATACAGTACTGTAAATTCTTGAGCTCTAAAAAACCCACATAAAAGCCTTCTAATAGCATGGGAGAGAAATTTTGGCTATGAGATTGAAATGGGCAAATGGTGGGATCTATGGAATAAGACTATTAAACTTACAATATTTACAGCATTTAAAGAAAACATAGAAAACGAGGTTAGCCAAAATGTTTCCTGGGTTATCTCCACTGTGTTGGAAATGTGGAAGAAGGGATGGCACATTCTACCATATTTGGTGGTCCTGTATTGAGGCCACAAAGTACTGGAGAAGGATTCAAAACTGGCTAAAAGAGGTTACCAGGGCAAGCATGGAATGGAAACCCGAGACTTTTTTACTAAGCATAAAATCAGAAAACATGAGTAAATCTATATGGATTTGAGCCTACATATAATTGTGGCCACAAGAATAACCTATGTCCAATTTTGGAAATCTACTACCATACCATTGGAAGATGCCATAATTAAAAAGATTTATGAATGTGCAGAAATGGACAGAATGACAGGTTGGCTGAGGGACAAAGGAGAAACAGAGCATTATCTTAGCTGGAACCTATGGTATATGTGGGCGACAAGGAGAACAGCAGGGACTTAAAACGGGGAAAGTTAAATAGTTGTTAACAATGGGAACTAAAAGTGAACAAGGGTATTGTAATAGATCCCTGAACTTTGTAACGAGAAGATTCTGGTTAGAGACTAAACAATGAGGAAGGAAAAAAAAAAGTTGGGCTGTGAATGACTGTCACCATGGGGGGCGGGTTGTATGTTTAAAGTTGTATTTGTATTTGTATGTCTTTTTTTTTTTTTAAAGTATAACCAATAAAGATTATTTTTTAAAAAACCACATTCAATCAAATATTCTAATCTGCAACTGAAACAAAGCACTTTTTTTTATTCCTTGGGGTGGACATAGCAAGGCTTGTCGGGCTTTTAGGCCTGGTTCTTGACATTTGATTGTCAGAAGTAAGTTCCACTAAGTACAGAGATATTCCAGTTAGATTATTCCAGTTAGTAGTCTCTTTTTTTGCTAGGTACATAGAGCAAGTTCCTGCAGCAGTTGTATTTGTTTTTCTGTATTTAAAATATGCTACTTGAATGACAAAACTGGATAGACCAAGTAGAAAGTCAAGCTTACTTTATATGCCTGCATGGCTCAGTTGTTCAGCAAAAATTATCCTAACCCTTATGGCCACATCTTGTCTTTTACCTACCCACGTAATTCTGGTAGCAGTTACGAGTCTGGTTGGTGAATGGAAAGCGAGGATCAAAAGGAGCTGTGAAAGGGAGTTTTCTTTTCTTGGTGTCTAGTGTAGCAGCTGAAACTTTCTGCATTTCTGAAAAAGTGAAAAGGAGAGAAAGAGTAGGAGAGTGAATGTGTATTGGCAAAACATGGAGGAGTCAAACTGATACGCTGCTTGTCCTTTCTCAGAACAAATCAATTTCCCAAAGACAAATCAACTTCCCAAAGAAGTCCTCATTTCAGAGATTTGGGTAACTAATCTAATTATTCATTGCTACTGAGAAAAAGTATTGTAACCATTCCAATGATTCTTATTCCTTTCTAGACAGCTGAGGGTTTCTGGCTCAGAAATATCTTCTGATTGATTTCTCTTCTCTAAGGATCTGAAAGTTAATAACTTCTCATTCTTATCCAAACAGTGTCTTCAACCAAATTCAGTTTGGGATTTTAGCCTAATATTTTCCTTCTCTTCCAAATTACTTCTTTCAAATCCTATCAAAATTGCTGTTCATTTCTAACTTGGACAGTTTTCCTTTCTATTTATTTCTAATTTGACATGGCTTCACTTTGTCATTAATTATCATCCCAGTTCATGGTAGCTACTCCCAACTACTGACTTCTTTGAAGAGCAAGCTGACTTCTTTGAACAGCAGACCAGCCCTCACTTCTCACAGCCCTGCTCTTCCTAACATCTCTACTCAACATACATCATTGATAGTTGCAGAGCTGCCTAACGGTTCATTCATCTGAGGATATATTCTTCATTCTGATTTTTCCTTTCCTTTCAGATTAATTTTTAGCAAATTAAATGTAAGAGCAAACGAAGAGGATTAAATCAGTTGGGAGATAAAGCATATGAAGGAACCCTTAACCACTGTCTCTGTCTAAATTTCCCTCCTCAAGGGAGGAATTATGCAGCTTCCTGTATTGTCAAGAATTCGTAATTAAAAATTTGATATGCAAACATATGTAAACAAGAAATTCCAGAGTGTTTTGGCCACGGATGCTCTGCTTCTTTGTCACAGATCATTTTAATTTTTCCCTGTAGAGCCCAAGTCAGATAGAGCTCCTGACATAGCCAATAATGGCTGATCACAGAAATAGCTAAATAGCATTGATCTCAGAGCTGATTATTACTTGGATAAGAGACCACCACAAAACCTTATAGCTCCAGATTAGACTGTGAACCCAACATGGTGTCTGCCAGGACTCAGTGTTTAAGTGGGGTCTTGCCTCTACCCCTCAGTGTGACTGTGGTGCTCCTCGACAAAATATCCATCACATTTTGTCTGAATGTCCATCAAGAGCTTACACAGAGCCCCAATGTCTGTTTTTTTCCCCAACACAGATCACCTTGTCCTTGAAAGCTGGGTGGACTGGACATTAACATTTGAACAACTATAAGTCCATGTATTTGTTATATGCTAAATAAATAAAAACTGGGAAGACCCCCCTTCCGCCTCCCAATATTACAAAATATGGGAAAAGCAAATCAGGTCCATTTTGTTGCCAAGATTGTGACTTGAAGATGGCTCTGCTTTTTTTTCTGTACAGAACTGTGCACTCCCTCTGCTGGAGATATCTCAGTTAATATTATTCTGGATGGAATATTTTTCTCTACTTCCTAGCTTGCTTTTTTCTACCTTCAGTTAAAAATATCAGAAAAAAACTACTCTCTCTCCTCCCAATACCCTTATTAATTTATCATATCAGACTGCTGTGGTGACTTCTAGCCCCGAGAGAGAAAAAGTGAAGCGGCATTTATGTGGTCTGACTCAGGAGCTGGAAACTGGTAGGCCTCATCTCAGCTGCAGCCTCAACCCCATTTGAAACGCTCCCTGATCTTAACCCATTAATTTGCAGTCTTACATCAAAAAGAATCACAAGCCCTTGTCAAAAATACAGGATTATTGTTTTGGAAGGAACAAAAATCTGAGGGAAATGGGCAGTTTCTAAAGATGATACATAAATAAATGCTACATAAATAAATCACTCTCAGTGCATTTGAATGAACACCCTGCCTCATCCAGAGGGATGGAGTTGAGGAAAATTCCTTCTGGGGCCAACCCTGAGGTAAGACCCTTGGGATACCATGGTGCAAAGTAAACTAGCTACCTGTTTTCCAGAAAATGAATAAGGGTTTATCCTCACTTGTTCCCACCCCAGTTAAATTAGGAATAACTGCCAGAATTTCAGGGACTGGCAGAATATTTATATATAAAAAAACAGGCCAATCAGATGTGTGGCTACTGATCTGCTGCCTAATGATTGGCTGGACCCATAGAATCTTCTGGAAGCTGCATGGAAGGAGGAGTGAGTGGGATTCCTAACTGAAACAGAAGTAACAAAATGGCTCCTTTTCACAAGATGGTAGAAACAAGCTACTCAAGAAGCACTGAGAAACCCTTGTTTTGCGTGCACACTCACATTTGTGAACCAGCAGAAAAGGTAAGTAAATCCCACCCCTCAGTAGTGGGATTCAAATTTTTTTTACTACCAGTTCTGTGGGCATGGCTTGGTGGGTGTGGCAGGGAGCGGATATTGTAAAATCCCCATTCCCTCCCCACCCCAAGGGAAGGTTACTGCAAAATACCCATTTCCTCCGGATCAGCTGGGACGCGGGAAGCAGAGAATAGATGGGGGCGGGGCCAGTCAGAGGTGGGTTTTACCGGTTCTTTGTGCTACTCAAAATTTCCGCTACCAGAACTAGTCAGAACCTGCTAAATACCACCTCTGCCACTCGTGAGCAACACTGCAGCACCCCCTTCTCTTGGCCTCCCACAACTCACCTGTAGCTGCACTGCAGTGGTGGGTTCCAGATTCCATTGCAACCGGTACGGTGCAACAGGGCCAGGTGTCCACCACATGCACGCGCGCAGTGCGCGCATGCATACTTACCGCCCGCAACGTTCCAGCTGCTCGGCAGAGTATTGCACATGCACTGTACGCTCCGTGTGCATAAACCCCGATCGGCTCAAATACAGGTAAGGAGGGCGGGCAGGCAGGTGGGCCCTCCAGAGCACCATACCAGAACAGTACCTGGTGGTCCCACCAGGCATCAGTACGCCTGTCCCGGGGCATACCAGCCATATCCTACCACTGCTGCACTGGTTATCCCAGAACTTCTCCAGACCACCCTTTCCTCTCCCCACTACACTCATTATTTTGAATTTCCACTCTTTCTCACCTAACAACCTGTCTTAGGGTTACAATAGCAACTAGGATTGCTGAGATTGTTATCACTAAGCAATGCAGTCATGTGACATCACACTTTAGTACCCCATTTTTTAGCTATGACAATCGTGATTCCAATTGCCAATGTAACCCAAGAGCTATTTATAATTAATTTCAAAACTCTGGAAAATTTCTCACAGTTGTCTTTCAAACAATCCAGCAATAGGGGACCGAAAGCCCCACAACACCACTGCAACTGCCTCACTTTGTGGGTCAAATTCACTTTTCTCCTCTTGTCCCTGTCTCAATGGCATCTGTGGATCAATTTCTAGATTCTGCATGCATGTTTGAATTGAGTTCTGATTACTATTTTGAATTCTGAACACCAGCAGGGAAGAAAAAATGCATAAAATTCTAAACTTTATAAGCCATTTAAGTACTGAGTCCAATTTCCTACTTAGGGAGGAATCCAAATTAAAGCATTTCTAGCTGTCTAGCCTCTGCTTGAACATATCCAGTGAAAGGGAGTTAATCACTTCTTGGAGCTGCTGTACCTGTACTCAGAATGTCATGGAGTTCTTTGGGATTCTGCTGAATGAAGATATATTATGCCCCCAGCATTCCTCTAATCTACTAACACATTGCTTATTTTAAAATGTTTATTAAAATATTCTCTGATCATTGGCATATTTATTTGATTTGCTAGGCAACAAAGATTAGGACTGGGAGTAAATGTGGTATGGATATCATCAAGATGGGGAATTTGATTCTGATTCTTGTGCATGATGTGACAAGAGTAGGAAAGTAAAATACATTAGAGGGCATTTTTTGTTTATATTTCTCCCCTGCTTTCTACTTTTTAAAAGCTCTCAAGATAGCTTGCAAAGCAAATACAACTACATCTTTAAAACATAGAGGTTAACAATATTTTTAGGCATTCTGTACAAATAACATTTTTATAAAGGCCATTTTTGCAACATCATCACTCTAGAGATTTCAACCATCTCTCCCCTGAGATCTCACACATTCTAGCGTGAAATTTTGTTAGAAGTGATGTCATAAGCAATTCTTTGATTTTTTAAAAAAAGTCTTAAATATTTTTATTCATGTTCACCATATCATCCAGAATCAAAATAAACAGGAGCTGCAAAAAAGTGCAATTGTTTTCACTTTCTTCTTGACTGATCTCTTTTTTAAGTGCTTCACCAAAAATGTAATAAAGGTTCTTGTTACAAAAATAGACACAAGACAGACACAAATGCACACAAATATACAAAATCAATACTCCTTTTTTAAATCTGTCAGTGGACTGGACACAGTAAATCTCTTTCCTTATTAAGTTTTTCTAACCATTTAAAAGCAGCACAATTTCTTTGCAAAGATTTCAAAATTTACAGCAAAATTTGCCATTCAGAAGAGGCATAATTTTTGTCCAAACTGAGATTACAATCCTTTAATTTTTAGGGGTTGGGGCAGAGGTGGGCTTCAGCCAGTTCAGGCTGGTTCGGGCAAACCAGTTGTTAAGATTCTGTGCAGTTTAACGAATCGTCAAATCCCACCACTGGGTGGCCCTGCCCACTCTACCCTATATTGCCTCACCCACCTTGGCCAGTGGTTAGAGTCACATCCACACCCAGCTACTCTCTGGCTAGAGTCGCACTGACTTGCCCAAACCACGCAGTCCAGATGATCTCCATGCCTCGCCTGCTCTGCTCACTGTGGCTGCCCGCAAAGGTAAGGCACTCAGCCGAAAGGCCACCTTGGGGTGGACATAACAAGGCTTGTCGGGCTTTTAGGCCTGGTTCTTGACATCCTTCCGCCTGCATGCCGCCTGTTAGCCCTTCGCCTCAGGAGACACACCAGCCCCTTGTTTTTGCCTTCCCTGGGGCAAAGCGGAGGTGGAGCAGGTGGCAGCCCAGA